AAAAAAAAAAAAAAAAAAAAAAAAAAAAAAAAAAAAAAAAAAAAGAAAAAAAAAAAAAACACGATTGATGGTGTTGAACTCAGTTAATCAGGAAGCTCTATTCAAGCGACAGGCACTAAACAGGCAACCTAAAACTTGTATACAATTTATGAGTTTTTAACCATCTATAAATATTCAACCACAGAAATTATCTGGCGCAAGTCATCTCAAATCATAATTTTTTTGAGAATGCTGAAAGTATAAAAGAGAAGACTACAGAAAAAATAGGCCAAACCAAACAAAAGTGCCTCAAAAGAGTTATAAAAAAACAGGGATTTAAATTTTGGTAGTCCCTTAATAGCAAAACCCAGTAGACACTGAAACCAAAAGGATGGCAAGAAACTAACTCAATTACACACTTGGAAAAAACATCATTAAAAAATGGTCATCTTCCAATAGTGTTCATATTCAATAATTTTTTATTTAAATCGATAGTTTTATATCTAAAATTGGGTAATTGGTCTGGGTCAAAGCTCTTTACAAAGATAAGATTTCTCAAGATTCCCTAGATAGAAATTTTATATCTAACGCCTTAAAAAGTTTTGAGGTCTCAATTTCTGAGTTCAGGGGAAAAGAAAAAGAGTGAAACTTATTACCAAATAATAGGAAAAAGAAACATTAAGAGAATTCTATAAAGGAAAACTATAGACAGAGAATTAGCAAACTAATACCTGATAATTCATAAAGGTCTCAATCAGCTCTACTGTCTGATATGAACCTAAGAAGGTCGACTGATACCTGAATATGATTAAGTAAAATGTCATCCACTTCACATAAACATCAAAGAGGAATTAGTTGAAATCTATCTTTCAATAATGTCAATCAAGTCAGCATAAGAGCTCCACCAACATGACACAGTGAGTTAATAATTAGCATATATCATCAAGCACAAGGGACAGAACACTTGTTTTGGTGTTCATGAAGCCAAAGAAAAAGAATGCCCAAATGAAGTAGCAACCTTACATTTAAATGCCTCGGATTTGCAAAAGCATGTCTGATCTAACCAAATTAACCAAGACACTAAAGATTTTCTTTTTATCCTTGATACAACAAAGTTGAAAATCAGATTTCAGGCACGGCTCGTAATCTCCAATAGTTGGACACAAGTAAAATAGTACCAATTACATAATAGTTTGTTTAAAATCTAAAAACAAAATGGAAAAATAATCCACATGTTTTTAACATATGGAGGTAAAATAGAAACTGATCAGAAACAAGTGAAGAATACGAACACAAATAACATACATGCATATACACATTATTCCCTACTAATAATGTCATGTTCTCCATAAATATGTACTATTATAAAATTATGCTTACCATCCGACAGTATTATTGTCAACATTGACTTCTCTCAGACATCTCATCATTTCAAGCTGGTAATTAGCACCATCAGCTTCAATCTCCTCATCCTCCTCCCGAGTCTAACAGATTCATGTTCATATCTTAAAATAATTGCAATGGTAGGAAAAGAAAATCCTGAACCATTAAACAACGTGAAAATAACTGCCTCATCATACCGGAAAAGGAAAGCAATTAGTGACTTCAAGAACACTACCAACATCTAACCCAAGAAGTTGCCCAGTCACAAGGGCTGGTGAAAACTCCTTGCAATGCTTGATTATCTTCAATATAACCTGCAGAGATGATAAAAGAGGATTTTAACCTTAATTTAGGGATAGAAGAACAAGAGCTCAAATTTATAGAAACGTTTGTTCCCACTAATTGCTTGCCCTATATAACGTGCCAAAGAGAAAAATAACTATTTTTCTTCCTTCGCAAAGAAGACAGGAACGACAGGAACGATGCAGAACCGATAGAACAACAATTCTGAATCCAAATTGGAAGGCTCACTAGCTATCACGTTTCCATGGAAAATAGGATTGCATGAAGCTAGACATTCCGTCAAAAACACTAAAACAAACAAACAACGTTTGAACGAACAACAAAAGGAAATCCCGAATTAAATAAAAACCTCCGCTTTGTTCATGCGTGGGAAGAACTAATTAGTCCCTACACTTCAAAATCAAATCAGACGCAAAATAAGAAAAAGGAAAGGAGGAAATTACCAATCCTTCAATCTGGACCACTCGGAGAGGGGTAGCAACCTCTTCCGTAGCAGCAACCTGCAGAAAAGACCTAGCCATCGCTGCAGCACCACAAACGCATTCATAAACAGCGAAACGAAATCCACAACCACACTTAAAAATCAAAATTCAAATGCGCGAACGATGAACAAGAGAAGAAAGAGAGAGGCTGTACGCACGGTTAGCCATAATTAGGGATTCGCAAAAGCTCTAGAAAGAAGGAAGAAAGAACGGAGGCCTGGATCGAATCGCAGAAGCAGCTACGGGCGTCTTTCAGAGGTGCAAAAGCGGGAGAGTTCGTGAATAAACCCTACCAGCGGCGGCACAGTCCGGCGATGGGCAGGTGGAGCAACGACTCCAATAATGGGCCGAGTATTTGTTCAAATCGGCCCAAACAAAAACAAAAATTGTCACTTAAAAAAAAAATCTATTTTAATAATTTTTTCAAAAAAAAAAAAAACAAAAACTTATTAAAAAAAAAAAAAAAAGTTTCCACACATGAATTTTTTATATTTTTTTAGACCCAATATTTTTAATAAACTTTTAAAAAATAAATATTGAGAGATTAAATTTATAATTTTAAAAGTTCAGAGACTAAATTTATAATTTTAAAAGTTTAGATACCAAATAAGTATAAAAGTCGGGAATTCATTTGTAATTTAGCTTAAGCTCGACGATGTCGGGCTTTTATTAAAAATATTAAGAAAACAAAATGAATGAGTGAAGAATTTGATTAAATTGTAACAATTCCAATAGTATTATATAGTTTTTGAAGAAATGTATGCATTTTGAAACAATTTGGTAACTCAGGGGCATTTTCGTAATTTTGTCCAAGTTTAAAGAACAAGAGACGAATCCTTATATAAAGGAGTTCATAGAGGTCGTAAACCCTAACAAGGTTCTCTGAAGAAAAAAACGCAGCCTGCTATGGAGCTTCGGAGATCGAGATTCTTTCGATCTCCGATTTGCGATTCCTTGCAGATTAAGAGAATCTTACATTGATCACAGGCATCTCAGAAAGCCAGTTCCTGATTTCTCCCATAGGTTCTTGGCTCGCTATGATGCCTACACTTTCTTTTCATTTCTACTGAACTCGATCCTCCTTTCTGCTTTCGAATCTTCTGTTCTTGCCTTTTGAACTGGTGTTTACGGAATTGGAATGTGTTATACACTGTTTTGGCTGAAGCGTATTTGGATTCTGACTTCGATTTTTTTTCTTTTCGGATTTGTACCTTAGTTTGTGTGCGTTGATAATTGGATTTGATTCTCGATCTTTCATCTTATCTTTAGCTGAGCATTTGATTCTTCATTTTGTCTACCTTCTGATACGGATTCAATGTCATTTTCTTCCAAGTCTCAATGATTTTGTTCAAATCGAAATTTTCAAGTTTATCAAAATATATTAATCGTTTTTTAGGTAGAATATGTTCATATTTGTTACAAATTAATTTTATAAATTTTAGTCTTCATTTATTTTTCTTTATTTAAATAGAAATAATTATAATTTTAAAAAGATGATATTGAATCTACCTTTTCAACTTTCGCTTAATAAATACGGAAACTTTTTTAATTGTTTTTTTTTTTTTTAATTTAATGTGCATTTACTATATTATAAAATCATACATTTTATACAAAATTATTAGACTTCATTGAAAAACGGTACTAAAATTGCATTTTATTTTTGAAATATATAAATTTTTAGAGATTTGTTGAATGATAAAATTAATACCTTTACTAATTTTCAATAAAAAATTAATTTCTTACGATCATTTTTGTTTTTATATGAATCCATCTTGTTCATAAAACCAATCATACAAATATATAATCCAATCTCAATTAAAACATTATGATTTGATTGTTTGAGTTTTTTATTTTTTGTTTTTGAAAATTTAGAAAATTTATTGGTTAATTTTCTTCCTATTTTCTTATTTTTTACAATTTTTTTTTAAGTATCTTTTTGACAAGTGCATCGAGATGTACGGACCAACAAACTCAACCGACATTTGTTGTCGAATTAAACCAAGAATCAAAATATGTATACCAAAAATCTCAGAACAAACCCAACTATGCTAACAAAATAAAAAGTGTTCTATAGTTAAACTTGTGAATGCTTTGTTCTTCATCGTGTTAACTGTCCCTATTGGGAATTCTGATGAACTCACAGTTAACGGAATCGAACGCCCCTCGGTTTCTCGACACGCTATATCCACGCACACCGTAGCAGACACAAACGAGCTGATAGCTTAGTAGCTTCGACCCCAATAGCTCCATTTCTTTGCAGGCTTCCCAGATGCAAAACATTTGGTACCTGACCACGAACATCACCGTAAATTCAAGGAAACCAAAAAGAGTTCCTAATAATTTTCCCAACAACTCACCATCAAAAATTGTAACGGCCCAAGCCCACTCCACCAATAGCAGATATTGTCCGCTCACAGTTTTTAAAACACGTCTGCTAGGGAGACGTTTTCACACCCTTATGCTTCATTCTCCTCCCAACCGATGTGGAATCTCACAATCTACTACCATTCGGAGCCCAGCGAGGACACTCAATTGGGGAGGAGAACGAAGCATTTTTTATAAGGGTGTGGAAACCCCTCCCTAGCAGACGCATTTTAAAAACCTTGAACGCAAGCTCTAAAGGAAAAAAAACTCAAAGAGAACCATATCGGCTAGCAATGGGCTTGGATTGTTACAGAACCAAATACAGATTTGGACAGAAATTAGTACCTTCTGGGAGTGCAGGCTGCTCGAACGGGGAACACAAGGTTTTAGCTGCTCCCATCTCACCCTTGGTCCGTGTTTTCACGTCCTTCTCGACCTCCTAAAGGAACATAAAAACGAAACCGGTAGACGATAAAAAGTTGGCATAAAGCAAACATGTTACAAACTTCTTATATCAGAAAACCTCTCTCAATTTACTCAAGCCAGTGATCTCACTGATGTTCAAAACAATGGAATATGACGTTAAAACTGAAGCAGCTAACACAAGCAACAAAATCTTAATACCTCTTCATCACACCATGGAGCCAATATCATTTTCTTCTGACTGAGTGCTTCAGTAAACTCTTCCCATGTATTAATAACTTGAATGCATACATCTCGTTTTTCTTTCGCCGCGTCGAACAGGCTTTGTTGAATACTTTCGAGCAATTCTTTCACTTGTTCAACCAATGCAGCTCTAGGTATGTCCTTTTTCCCCGAGTTATCACGACGAACGGCACGTACCTAGAAATAAAGTAATACATGTGTTAGTAACAGGGAAGGCGAATTTCGATGGTGACGAAAAATAACATCAGTAGACAGAATAAACAACCTGATTGTTTGCCAAGTCCTTCGGCCCTATTTCGATCCTAAGCGGAACACCTTTCATTTCCCAGTGAGAATACTTCCATCCAGGAGAATAATTATCCCTAGAATCGACCTCGGCACGAATTCCTGCTTCGGACAATGTATCCAAAGTGGTAGAACAAGCATCAAAAATTCCTTGAGTGTCTGCATCTTTGTAAGGCACGGGAACGATAATAACTTGAACCGACGCAACTTTTGGAGGCAGCACCAATCCCTTGTCATCCCCATGAACCATAACCATCACACCAATCTGCAAACGATTCGGAAAGACAAGATTAACAGACGTAGATATTCACTCCGACACGTTACCTAAAAGCTCGGACAAATGCAAGTATCAAAATATTACCGTTCTAGTACTATACGCCCACGAATTTTGCCAGACCATAGCTTTCTCCCCCTTTTCGTTTTCAAAGTTGATTTCGAACATTTTAGCGAAGTTTTGACCTAAGCAATGTGAAGTCGCACCCTGAATTCCACGACCAGTGTTCGGGATAAATGCCTGCATAGAAGAAACAGTTTCATACAGTATAAACGAGAACCGGGTATCGATTCACCGTGCTGAAAACAGGTCTATAACATTTAATCAACTTATACCTCCACGCTCGTGGTGTAAAGACCACCGGCAAACTTCTCCATCTCGCTCTTCTTGCCCTTGATAACAGGAATAGCCAGGTATTCTTCGTATATTCGCCTATACAATTCCAATATTTCAAGAACCTGAAATAAAAGTAACCTTTAAAATATGACCACAGATTCATAAAAGAACTGTATATTTCAGGGTTTGATTGAAGGATGTTTTGGAATTCTCCCTTTAAACTCATCCTTAACGGCCCAAGCCTACCACTAGCAGATATTGTCCTCTTTGGGTTTTCCCTTTCGAGCTTACCCTCAAGGTTTTTAAAACGCGTCTGCTAGGGAAAGGTTTCCATATCTTTATAAGTGGTAGATATTGTCCTCTTTGGGCTTTCGCTTTCGGGCTTACCCTCGAGGTTTTTAAAATGCGTCTGCTAGGGAGAGGTTTCCACACGTTTATAAGTGGTAGATATTGTCCTCTTTGGGCTTTCCCTTTCGGGCTTACCCTCAAGGTTTTTAAAACGTGTCTGCTAGGGAGAGGTTTCCGGGTGTTTCGTTCTCCTCCCTAACCGATGTGGGATCTCACATTCCACCCCCTTTGGGGCCTAGGGTCCTCGTTGGCGCTCGTTCCTTTCTCCAATCGATGTGGGACCTCCACCAAATCCACCCCCCTTCGGGGCCTAATGTTCTTGCTGGCACATCGCCTCATGTCCACCCCCCTTCGGGGCTCAACCTCTTCGACAACACATCGTCTGGTGTCTGGCTCTTATACCATTGGTAACGGCTCAAGCCCACCGCTAGCAGATATTGTCCTCTTGGGTTTTCCCTTTAGGGCTTACCCTCAAGGTTTTTAAAACGCGTCTACTAGGAAGAGGTTTCCACACCCTAACAAAGGGTGTTTCGTTCTCCTCCCCAACCGATGTGGGATCTCACAATACCCCATTTGTAACGGCCTAAGCCCACCGCTAGCAGATATTGTCCTCTTTGGGCTTTCCCGTTTGGGTTTACCCTCAAGGTTTTTAAAACGCATATGCTAGGGAGAGGTTTCCGCACCCTTATAAAGAGTGTTTCATTCTCCTCCCCAACCGATGTGGAATCTCAAAAGAATCACTTAAAGAACTTAGTGCTCCCAATTTAGACCCCACTCATTCTTTTTTGGTTCCAATCAAAGTGAGTTTGCATGTTTAAATGTAACCGTTCAAGCCCATCACTAACAGATATTGTCCTCTTTAGGCTTTCCTTTTTGGACTAGCCCTTAAGGTTTTTAAAACGCGTCTACTAGGGAGAGGTTTCCACACTCTTATAAAGAATGCTTTGCTCCCCTCTCCAACCAATATGGGATCTCACAATCCACCCTTTTCAGGGCCCAACGTCCTCGCTGGCACTCGTTCCCCTCTCCAATTGATGTGGAACCTCACAACCCACCCCCTTCGGATCCCAACATTCTCGCTGACACACTGCCCGTTGTCCACCCCCCTTCAGGGCTTAGTGTCCTTGCTGACACACCACCCTGTGTCTGACTCTTTATACCATTTGTAACAGCCCAAGCCCACCGCTAGCAGATATTGTCCTCTTTGGGCTTTCCCTTCTGGGCTAGCCCTCAAGGTTTTTAAAACGCGTCTGCTAGGGAAAGGTTTCCACACCCTTATAAAGAATGTTTCGTTCCCCTCTCCAACCAACGTGGGATCTCACATTAAATCTCCAAATTTGCTCGAGATAAAAACGTTTCTAAATCATAATTTAAAACTCTTAGAGTTTTGTACCTCGGTATCCGCTTCATCCTTAGTAGCAAACGCAGTATGACCTTCCTGCCAAAGGAACTCTCGACTCCTGCAGTCGATAGTTAAAGAAAATTAGTCTTTTCTTTCAAAACAATACAGTAATTTAAAATTAAGCAGAAGCAGGAGTAATTGCCTAATAAATGGTGTGGGATGGCTGAACTCCCATCTCACAACATTGCACCACTGGTTAAGTTTCAAAGGCAAGTCACGGTGACCCCTGATCCACTTCGAATAGTACGGGTACATAACCGTCTCACTTGTAGGACGAATCGCAATCGGCACTTCCAAGTCAGACTCCCCAGATTTTGTCACCCAAGCAACCTTCAAATGGATGCCAAGTACCAAATTGTCAGCACTAAACCACAATTGCATTTTTATAAACTTCAAAATTAAAAATGAACGAACCGAACATAACGAATGGAACGACTTCTTAGAAACAAGCACAAAATTCCAAGAAAGATCACTCATCATTGAATAAATTCTTACTAAACTGGTAAAAAGGTGTGAGAGATCCCACGTTGGTTGGAGAAGGGAACGAAACATTCCTTATAAGGGTGTGGAAACCTCTCCCTAGCAAACGTGTTTTAAAACCGTGAGGCTAACGGCGACACGTAACGGGCCAAAACGAACAATATTTGCTAACAGTAGGATTGGGCTATTACAAAAGGGGAGGAGGGTGGGTGTCTAAAATCTTTTCTAAGAATGTTTTTTACTAGGAGGCAATAAAAGTTCATCGCTTGAGCCAAAGCTACACTGACAAGTTAGAGGTTAGAAGAACAAACTGAGAGGCACTCGACATAATCGAGACATCACGAAGATCGAGATGATATTCATAAATCATAACCCGATGACCATGACAACCGTATCGTCACTTAACTGGTATTACATCCATACCAAAGATAGTATGCATTTAAAACTTCATCATAAAAATGAAATACCCATTTCTCATCAATTTTAAAAAGATGAACAGGACAAAATGTAAAGAACTAGGGTTGTTGAAACTAGCATATTGGAAGATCAATCGGCAAAAATAACCATGAGCAGCAACGATATTATACGTTTCTTCCTCTTGACCAAATCTATAACCTTCATTAGCAGATTCATTTTCTGTGGTTTCCCTAATCAAACTAGAAGTTATCAAGGAACCATGCATAGCACTGAACAGGGAGAGTCGAATACACTAGCTACACCTAACATATGGAATGGGTGCATAAGGATGTCGTGCTCGGCCTGGAATACGATCATGAAGTTGAAAGTACCGAGATGCAATGCCATTGAATTTACAAGCGAAAGATTTATCATCTCTATGGGATTAAATCCCGAGTTATTGCATAAATGAATAATAAAACATCACCTCAGGAGCAAAACCTTCTATATGATCTTTCTCTCTTTGTAAGACGCCGGGAGATACAAAAAGTGGAAAATAGCAATTCTTGATTTTCATTTTCTTAATTTCAGCATCAAAAAATACCTGCACAGATGACAATTAAATCTTCGAACTTCGAAACAAGAACAGATCGTAAAATCGACGATAGAACGACTAGCATCCTTACTTGCATAGTCTCCCAGATAGACATCGCCCATGGCCTCAGTATATAGCAGCCCGAGATATCGTAATACTCGATCATTTCCCCACTGACAACCACCTAGACAAACTAGAAAAAGAATTATTCAAGTCATCGAAAAGAACGGGTTCATAATATTACAGGGGAGATCCCTCGAAAAGAAAAGGTCGACTCATACGAATAATTTTACACATGGGTTGAGACATGTACGTTGACAGCCTTCGAGTGAAATTACACGATTTACCTTCACTACGACGACTGTCAAACAACATTCTCAAACTCATATGTATAATTTTTACCGAACATAAAGAGTCATTTTGCAATGAAGAAAACAAAAACCGTGCACGAAACAGCACCTCGGAATACCATTCTCCGAAGTTGTCGTCCTTCTTATTGGTGAGACCCAACCCAGTCTCTTTCTTCACCTCCTTTTTCCCGCCTGCCCAGAGAACAACAAAGAACAAGTAAACACAAGCCAAACCAGGGAATTGGACACAATTGCACAAACAACTGCTGTATTAAAGGAACATCATTTACCAGCTTTTGGTTTAGTGGCAGAGCTACCAGGCTTAGGACCAGCCATGTTTTCGGGTTTTCAACTTCTGCAAGAAAATCGTGGTAAAAAGTTCATTATAGACAAAGAAATACAATAAACAAACTAGTGATTAAGTAGGCATTGGGAGAAGTTCTAGCAATCTTTCAATCTTTCAATGCTCAGCATGTAACAACCCAAGCTCACTGCTAGCCGATATTATCCTATTTGGACTTTTCATTCCGGGTGTTCTCTCAAGGTTTCAAAACGCGTTTGGCAGGGGGAGAGGTTTCCACACCCTTATAAGCAATGTTTTATTCTTCTCTTCAACCGATGTGGGATCTCACAATCCACCCCCTGGGGGCCCAATGTCCTCGCTGGCATGCCTCTAACTCTGTACCATTTGTAACAGCCCAAGTCCACCGCTAGCAGATATTGTCCTCCTTAGGCTTTCCCTCAAGGTACTAAAACGCGTCTGGTAGGGAGCGGTTTCCACACCCTTATAAGCAATGCTTCATTCTCCTCTCCTACCGATGTGGGATCTCACAATCCACCCTCTGGGGGTCCAGCGTCCTCGCTGGCACACCGCCCGGTGTCTGGAGGCACCCTTATAAGCAATGATTCATTCCTCTCCAACCGATGTGGGATCTCACAATCCACTCCTTGGGGGCTAGCGTCCTCGCTGGCACACCGCCCGGTGTCTGACACTGATACCATTTGTAACAGTCCAAGCTCACCGCTAACAGATATTGTCCTCTTTTAGCTTCCCCTCAAGGTTTTAAAACGTGTCTAGCAGGGAGAGATTCCACACCCTTATAAACAATGCTTTGTTCTCCTCTCCAACCGACGTGGGATCTCACAAAACAAAAACACAGGAAGGAATCCAAAGTCAACCCTATGAAATTTGAATTGGGTTGAGTTCTGTTGCCAAATTTTCCCACAAATGCAACAAAATAAATAAGGAAACACAAATCATCAAGCCATACAAACCCACCCCGTCCAGGATTTCTATCGAAAAAAGGAAAGTAGAATTCAGATTTGATATCTTTCCCAGCAACACAAAGAAAACAATAGGAATTTCAAAGGAAACACAGACATGATATGAATTTGTAGTGGTTTTCAAACTAAGAAAATTGAAATGAACAGAACAATGAACATTGAATAGATAACCAAGATGTTCAACATACTTCAAACCCACTGAATAAGAGCATGTGAGTGTGATAAAAGAGCTGCAATAAACTTACAATGGATCGGTTTCTGCGATTGGATGAACACCCGGCTGCGGACAGTGATGAAATGCGAGAAGCTTTGAGGGTTGAGCACACGGCAGGACAGGGATGGATTGATCTTTCGAAAATAACGTTTTTAAGAGAAGGAAAAAAAAAAAATGGCATTGACTGCATCCCCTCGGCGTTGGGCTGGGCCTGCCTTCCCCGCCGTTCTTGCCACTCGATTTTCTCCCCCCGAATGATGCTGGCCGATGAAAAAACCGATTTTTTTCCTGATAAAAACCGAACCGAACCCATTCAGCTCGTGTTAGTTGAATACCCTTATCTGACGGAGTTGCCTCAGTTGGATCAAATTATGTTGAGACATTTTTTATATTCAATTCAATTATTTGGAAGGTAATAAATAAATGAATTTAAGTTAAAGCTATCATTTATTTCTTTTTTAGTTGAATGTAAATTTATTTTGAAAATTATTTATTTATTTATTTTCAATAATTTAAAAAAATTAATAATAAAAATGATTATAAAATTATAATAAATATATGTATATATAGTAAAAAAAATATTTTAAAATTTTGATAAAATTTTCATTTATAATATTTTGAATCACTCCTCTTTTCAACCTCTTATTTTTTTTAGTTTGGGAAGAGAACAGATAATGATAATAAACTAATAGTTAAAAAAAGAAAAAAAAAAAAACATAGAGCCTCTCATTAGAGAAGGGACATGAGAAATAGGGTCGAGCTAGATTCCGTCGGGCATCCATTCTTAATCAGATTAAAAAAGGTTCGCTAAAGCTAGAGAGAGCATTCTACTAAATATTTGGTCGATTAGTTCAAGGGGAGGGGTGGCGTTGGAGGAAAGTTCCACACTAATTTAGATAATGATCATGGGTTTATAATCATCTCCATTATTGGTTCGAGACCTTTTGGGAAAGTTCAAAGCAAAGTCATGAAAGGTTATGCTCAAAATGAACAATATCATACTATTGTGGAGAGTCGTGTTCATCTAACCTAACATGATATCAGAGTCCTGCTAAGGCCTTTTAGGGAAGTCCAAAACTAACCTAACATGATATCAGAGTCCTGCTAAGGCCTTTTAGGGAAGTCCAAAACAAACCCATGAGAGTTTATGCTCAAAGTTGACAATATCATACAACTTTGAAGAGTATCATACTATTGTGGAGAGTCGTGTTCATCTAACCTAACATGATATCAGAGCCATGTTAAAGGCCTTTTGGAGAAGCCCAAAACAAATCCATGAGAGTTTATGCTCAAAGTTGACAATATCCTTTTGGAGAAGCCCAAAATAAATCCATGAGAGTTTATGCTCAAAGTTGACAATATCATACAACTTTGAAGAGTCATGTTTGTCTAACACAAGTATTATGGTTGAATGCACGATTGTGCTAACAAATTGTCAAAATGTGCACGGCCCGATGGCCGAATTGGTATGAAGCATGCATCGTCAAAAAAAAGTTAAAATTATGAAATAATAAAAATAATATATGGAGGAAATTATTAAGAAAAAAAATCAAGAGAAAAAAGAGAGCACAAAAACATTCTTACTCGGTTGCAAATTAATTAAAGAGGGCAAAAAAACATAGTAATATTCTGTTGATGCGCCGACCCGACCCGACCCGACAGTTAATTTTAAAATTACATGGAATAAAAAGAAAAACTGAAAACATATTCACGTATTTAATATATTTTCAATACGTGTCAAAAGGCAATTGGCTAAAAGAGAAACCAATTAAATGTGGATGCGTTGATAGAGAGCACACATATTCCATGCAACTTTGTGTAATGATCACATCCTTCTTCTTCCTCCATCTTCTTCTTCTTCATCGTCATCTTCAAGGTTTTTTATATACAGACTCTAATGGAAAAACACCCTCTCTCTCTCTCTCTCTCTCATCCTCTGGTTTTTTTTTTTTTTTTAGAGTTAATTTTTCATTGAACGTGTGTGATTAAGTGAGAAAGACATCATGAACCTAAGGCACTAAATCCACCTCCCTTCATCATTTGCTTAAACTCCTTGTAATTCACCATTCCATCTCCGTCCACATCCACCTTCGTGATCATTTTCTTGCAATCCTCTACAGTTCTCCCTTGCTTAAGCCCCAAGGAAGCAAGAACTGACCTCAATTCGTCGACGGTGATGAATCCGTCGCCGTTCTGGTCGAAGACGTTGAAGGCTTCTCTCATGTCCTCTTCCTCGTCTTTCTCGTCCATAATCGACTGGTACAGTTCACCGAACTCGTCGATATCTACGCATCCGTCGCCATTGACGTCGATTTTCTCGATCATTTGAATCAGATCTTTATCAGGGATGAAAATCCCCAAATTCTCCAACGAATCGCTTAATTCCTTCTGAGTGATCCGTCCGTCGCCGTTGCGATCGAACATCTGGAACACTCTCTTCAGTTCCGTCGGATCCATTAGTTAGTGATGATCTGTGGATGAGATCTCGGTCGGCCGGCGACGGGAAGAGGAGATTAAAGCGTAACAGAGGAGAAGAGGAAGAACAAATAGTGGTGCAGAGGGGAATGGAGGGAAGGCAAACAGAGAGAGAGAGAGAGGAGGAATCAATGTGGAAATGGAGATTGTAAAAAAGGGAGAAATCGTGAGAGAAAAATGGCTGGCTTGTGGTGGAAGCTTGTTTGGTTCCCCAGAAAATTTGGGAGAGAAAATAGGGTTTCAAACAAACTTCTAAACACAGAGAGACAAATGAAGAAGATGAACCAACGGTTTCCATGGCCGACCCCTTTTTGAAGGCCTCGCAAATGGTTCACGCGTTTTTTGGGCACTTTTTTATTCTCTTCCTTTATTATTATTTTTTTTTTTTAATTTTTTTTTAAAATTTTTTTTTCAAATAAAATAAAATAACATAAAAATAAAAACGCGTAACCATCCATTATTGTGGTTTGGTGGGTGGATTTTGCGTACTAATTAAATTTTTAATTCATTTTTTCCTTTTCATAAATTATTTTATGGATTTAAAAACTAAATTTTGTTTGGTATTTTTAATTGTTTGTTCCGATTTTTCATAATTAAATTTGAACTTTATATACAACTAGTACACGGGTCGGGTTCGGGTTGTGAGGGTTTGAGAAATCTTTTGGATGAACCAAAAATTTCAAATTGGTTAGTTTGGTGACTCGACCAACTGAAATAGAGTTCATAACTCAACTCTCTGTTTTCGAGTTTGGTTGAGTTGTTGGGTTATTTTTTTTAACAAAAAAAAAAAAAACATATTTATCCATCTTACTTATTACGAAAATCTCATAAAACTCAACAAGCTACAACACATCGTTAACATCAATTATAATCGTCAAATATCCTTAATTTTCATAATAATAAGTATGGTACAATTGAATCGTAACTCTATTTTTTAATTAGTCGAGTTAACCCAACAAAAAAAAAAAGTGACAATCTATTTCGATTTTTCAGAAATTAAATCCAACCTAAATCGAAAATACTATTTAATTTTTTTTATTTTATGTTTTTATGAGTACAATTTATTTCTATATATTTATAACTAAATTCATTATATAAAACAATTTTTATTTTTCTCATGGAAACACTTTGTCTCATATTCCAAGCACTTTTTTTTTTAATTCTTCTACACGTTATTTAATCTCTCTAACTTGGAGAATATTCTTTGCTTCAAACGTTAATAAATAGGGTTTTTTTTAATATTTTTTATAATAACAATAATTTTTTTTCATAGTTGTAGCAATATTTAAATATAATAAGAACATATTTAATTTTTGTCGTACACTCTTCTTTTTTATATACACAAAATACACAAAGTCAACGTATACTATCTATTGTTTTAATGTTATATTATATTTTTTTAAAGAAATATTAGGTTGAAAATATATATTTTACGAATGTAAATTTTTAAAATGAATATTAAAATTGAATAATACATCTTAATAAATGTTGAAAATAAAAAACATATATTTTACAAATTAATATTTCACTCTTATTAAAAATAATAAATTTAAATAAATGATGGGAATAATTCGAAGTGAATTGTTTTGGTTCAAAAAAATTTATAACCGGACAAGTTGGTATACAAAAGATTTGGTGGCAAGAATTTTTTTAAAACCATAAATTATTTAAACTAATAAATAAATAAAATTTACCATTTAAAATAAATTAAAACCCATAAAACATTAATTACATTAGTGTACATTTTAAATTATTTAATTTGACGTTGACGAAAAAGAAATCGTACCGTTAAGGGGAATGGGTGTAAAGAGAAGAAGACCGTTGGAGAGACAAAAAATTGGGGACCCGCGTATGAGGAGATTTTTTATGCCGTCGACGGCAAGAGGACTTAGATTAATGGGGTTCTGACACGTGTCCTCATTTCAACTATATCAGTTAACGGCTATATTCCAAACTTGCCGTTGCTTTCTTTCTCCACATAAATTTTATTTTATATAATTATAACTAAAAAATATTGAAAATAATAATTATCAAACCCGAACATAATTTAGTCAATATTTTAAGGTCCGATCTTTTATTTTATAATTATTGAATTAAAAACATGTCTTGTAAATTAAAATTTATCGATGTTACCATCTTAACGTATTATTTTATATATATATATATAAACAACATGCAACTCACTATTTTTCTTAGAGAAAAACATGCAACTCACGAAGAGGAAGCCACAGCATTATTTATTTATTTTTATATGGTGATAAAATATTTATTCAATTACTTAATAATAATTAAAAAATAAACTTTTAAATATATTAATTATTTTATTATTTGTTTGGGTTCAAAATTTATTTATTGCTCAACGCTCGGTTATCAGTCGAATTTATTGACTTGCTTTTCACCTTTTGTTACCGTAGCAGTCGCTCAACATAATGGAGAAAGATGAATGGAGATTGGTAAGGTAGCGAGAATATCTGTAAAATTCCACTCTACGCCACTGTTTTTACTATGAAATCATAAATTAAGGTGACGATTCTTTGGTTTGCTACCTACTTTATACTTTTCAGAGGTTTAACACATGGAGTTGATGCCAAACCAGTGGTCGAAACCCTAACTGAGCAGTGGGTTGACATTAAAACTGAAGTGACTTCGAGAAGCTTCAATAGAGTGTATTTTGTGAAGGAATAAACCGAAAAAGAAAAATAATAATTTTGAATTAAAATAAAAATAATATTTTTTTATTATTCTACAAATGTCTCGTTATTATTTAGATGGTAATTAGAATAAATGAAAATTTAGGACTCAAATGTAACCTAACCCAAATTTGAGGGACTAAAAATATATTTTTTAAACTTAAAAATATTTCGGTTCGAGTCCCTAAACAAATTTAAAAAACAAGAGGCTTGTATATTAGGTTTCAAAATAATTTAAAATATTTAAAAGCGAAGGACTAAAAATTAAATAAAGGAAAGTTTGAGGACGGAATGTAAAATTTAAATTTGTCGGTCTTATTGGCCGAGTGTTTAAAGAAATAGTTGACTACATTAAAAGTCACGACCGGCCATACTAAATACGGCATTAAAAATTTAATTATATAATAATTTAATTTTGTTAAAAAAAAAAAAAAAAACCACAATTTATGGATATAAATTATGTGGAAAATAGCTGTTGCCTTGCACGGCAATACTTTATAAAAGTGTCCCAATTTTAATTTAAATATTTTTTAAAAATCATAAAATTAGTTGTATAAAAATTAATTATTTAACTAATTTCAATAAAAATTAATTTAAAATAATTTTAAAAAATCGTGTTTACAGCGATCATATTTATAAACTTAACACGTTTAAAATCTGAGAACAAAAACTCAAACGAGTATAAATAGATCTAAACTTGTAGAAACCAGACATATAATAAACACAGAAACACTGAAAAGAAAGGTTATCGTTATAACTCGTCGAAAGTCGCTCGAGCTCGTTGAATGTGTCTCGGAAAAAGCAAATGGAAGGGAACATGAAAGTCAGATATGTAGGCTTAGTTTTGTGCACACTAATTGGGTAACCGATAATGTATTCCAAAGAAGAGGGAAATAGAGAGAATAACAACTGCTGTCAGATTCTAAAGTGACAGCTAGGTGACCGCTAGATTTCTTTCTTTTCTTTTTTTTTTCTTTTTTTTAAAAAAAGTTGAAAATCCAGAAGGTGATGAGCTGGAGGTTTTTGCTGACTCATTTGATTCCTCAATCACAGCCCACATTTCGCCTCCAAATATTAAAGATCCACGTGTCATTATTTTCACTATATAATAAATATTATAAAAATGGACGTCTCCTCCATAATTATTTTATTTTTTTATTTTTCTTTTAAATAAATGTTTAAATTAGTACGAAATTATTTTTATGATTAATTTATAATTTATCCTAATATCTATAAGCTTATTTTTAAAAAATAAAAAACTAAAATTATGATAACTATTTTCATTTTTTATTTTTTATTTTTTAAATTTATTCTATCCTTTCATTTCCACTCTTCTTAAATAAATACATGAATTTTTGGTCAAATTTTAAAAATAACATTAATTTTTTAAATATTAATAGAAAGTGGATAACCAAACATAATTTACAACCTTAATTTTTCAAAAACAAAAATCAAAAGTCAAATGGCTATAAAAACGAGCGCTATTTTTTAATTTTCAAATGAGTCTTAATCACTTATTTTAAAAATTAGATTTACGAATCAATAATATGCACATAGAATTAGGCGTGCATAGATAAAACACAAATTAGCGATTTTTTAAGTCAAAGAGTCTTCGTTTTGAGTCAACTCAGCTTGATTTTGGTTCCTACGAGTTTATTTTAGGTGACTTAGTTGGTTTTTGTAACTTAATCATAATAAACTTTTGTTTTAATAATGCTAATACAAAACTAGCTTGCGGTATAAAACATAACGTACAATTCTAAAGTCAATCGTTGAATTCTTCAGAATCGTTTTAGATAGTAGCTGATGTCTTATCCATGAAGTTATGCTCAAGTTGACAAATTCACAGTCAAATTCACATGCCACTCAGACAAAAACTTTAATAAAACGATTATACTAACGACATCTACGTAAGCAACAGGTCTCCAATGTTGGTGCAAAATCTGAGGGAAGAAAGTTTCATCTTGTTTGCTCGTACTTCAATGATGAATTTGTTTATTCAAAAGATGGGGTGACCTAGAACGAAATGATTAGGATAAGGTAGTCGACAAGAGATGACCTAGAATGACGGGATTCGGAATGGAGTAACCTGTGACCATCAGAAAATAATGGAAGCGAGTCAAGTGGAGGAGGTACGGGCTTGCAAAAAGTAGGGCACGTGAGGAGATGGGCTTACCTCGACCTATAACATCTAATATATTAGTTTTTTTAAATTAATAGAAATTTGAATTTTACATTTCAATGAACTTTATAGCTTTTTAATTTTTTTAATTTTTTTTATTTAGCATGTTTGAATTTAAGTTAAATTAGTCAAAAATTTATTAAGTACGAAATTGAAAAAATTTAGAACTTTATTGAATTACAAAATAAAAAAATAAAAAATAAAAATAGAAATCGAAGCCGTGACTGTTTGAGAATTAAGATCTTATTCTGGAAAGCAGTTTCCTTAATCGACTCATTGCAAAGTAAAAGTTCGAACAAATCGTTACTATCTGCTTGCATTCTTGGACAATTTCTATTCAGGTACCGTAAATTTTCTTTGTAATTTCTCTGTTTCTTTACTTAATGCGTGTAATTACCAGAGATTTGTACTACTTGTGTCAATGGAATCTAGATTTTGTTTTGACTCAGAACCCAATCTGTTCATTATATTTCAAAATTTTGTCATTATCTCGATTTTCTCGGTAGCCAAACAGATTCGTGATTGTGAAACGCAATGGGAACTTCCGACGTTCTGGCGTTGGAGACATAATGAGTTTAATTGGGTTTGTTCACCATGGCTCGGTGACTAGAAGTGGAAGTGGGTTGACTTCCGATTTGGGGAAGTTGTCGTGTTACGTTTAATTTTCTGAGCTGACCGGAGTTTAGATTGTTCATTTGTCTGTCTATTTGATTGGCTGAAGGTACTGACTATCCCTAACTTCCCTGAATTCATACCTCAGGTCCTTAACTTCGTGTAGATTTGTTGAGCTTCCCTGCAGATGCATATTCATGTGTTGTTTGATGAGATTAGAACTGAGGTTGGTTTTACTTGTAGGAATTTACCTAAGATTTTGATCGTTTTGGCATGTTGAATGATAAAGAGTTCAGTAACCTGCAGTTTAGAACTTTGTGTGGTGAGCTTACTTAGAAGTTAGAACTTGAGCCGTTTCCTGTTTCCTAAGGAACTGATTATGTCACCATTGCATGAGTTAAATAAAAGGGGAGGAGCTGCTTTGGCTTTATAGTGTTTCAGAAAGTTCCTAGAGCTGTGTTCTTTCAAGGTTTTCGTTGTCTCCTGTGAACGAGCCTCCTTATCCTTTCCAAGTTTGTTGGATAGAAATGATTGCCCATGAAATCTTCTTTCTGTGCAAACCTCCAAACTGACTTGGAAGCCAATGCAACATGTCTTATTCTAGGTTCTCTATCCTTTAGTCCCCTGCCTAATTGAAACCTCTGTGCAACTTGCATTGCTTGGTTTTTTGAAAAAAGGCATAGAGGAGCACATTAAGAAGAGTGTAGGTTGTAAGTCCCACGTTGCTGACAGGAGCACGCTGCACGGTTTGAAAAATACGACTGTGACACTTGGCAAGCTAGCAAACTAAGATTGTTTTAAGATTACTCTACATCCTTTGGGAAATTTTCCATGCATACATTTCTCTAATCTGTTCTTCATTCTTCCCACTATTGGATGTAAAAAAGTGAAATTTGAAGGGTCGAAGTGTATATACACGTAGGATAAAGATCCCTTCTCAGACTACAGCCCTGAAATGATCATCCTGGAAGAACTTCCAGTTTATCAGTATTGACGCTCACAACTCATAAGAAGATTTTTTATCCTTTATTTTGTAGTTGTGATTATGCGTAGTTGATATGAAATTACTTAAGTGTGTTCTGCCTTCAATTTGCCCAATAGAGTTTTTAATAATATGATCGTGAAGTTTATCTTCCATCTGTCGTTTCGGGAGAAGGGAAGATTTTATGGCAAGCTGGGATGTGTGGTTTCTTATGGGGTCTTCGGGAGAGAGAAATAATAAAATTTTCAGGGTCTGATAGGGAGTCGTTTGATGTTTGGTCCCTTGTGAGATTCCATGTTTCTCTTTGGGTATTGGTGAAGAAATCTTTATATAATTATCAAGTCTGATTTTGCTTGAGAGTCCCTTTCTGTAAAGTAGCTCCTTTTGTGGGGTTTACTTTGTGTATGCCCTTATATTCTTTCATTTTCTCTTAAATCAAAGTTGGGGTTTTCATAAAAATAAGAAGAAAAAAGAAAAAAGAAAAAAATTATCACTAGCCACTAGTGATGGTTGTGCTGAATTGAATTCTCCCTCAGCTCTGTTTCATTACCGAGCCTTTGAGTGCTTTTTGTGAAACAACCTTCTTAGAAAAGCTGCAACAATCACAACGAGGGATAGGAAAAGAAAAGTTCCATGTCCAAGACATTCTTTTACTTCAATTTTACCGCTTGGTTTACCGTCATGCGAACCGAGAATCTAGTTTTAGATTTGCATTTGGAAAGGAATTTACAAGCATTGATAACCAAACTATTTAGGTGGAAATCTATCCTGCGGCTGTTTCTTTCTTCGGATGACATGTAAAGTTCTCTTTCAGGAAGTATCTGCACCTCTAAAGAAATTCGAGAACATCCTAAGGATATAGACTACAATGACATCCCAACATTTTTTTCAAGAATTTGAAATTTTAGAATAAAGAATTAATCTTATCATGTCGGGGTTGTAATTTTATTTAAAGAGGACATCCAGTGGTACAAAAGAAAATTTTCATATACATTAATTCGATTTGTTTTCTATGCAAAAATTAACTGCATTATATAAAGGGTCAATACTGTGGTAATTCTAAAATTTTTGTGGCTCGGCTCAATTGAGGAAATCAAAAGTTTAATGTCTATGTGTAACAATGCCAATACATTGACTGTGAAAAGTATGATTTGTGGTTTACTTTTTAGTATTTTATAAATATATTATGAATTCAGTACCTATAGATCCGAATGTATCTTTCAAATTTTAAATAAATATTTTTTTCCTCAAGTTTCTTTGTGATTCATCCACCTCCTAAGATTTGCTTGCCAATGGCACAATATAGCAGGAATCAATTTTCATTGCACAGTTTGGAGCAAAGCGAGTAGCTTAAGCTTCAATTCTTCTTTGGTGTATTGGTCTTTCGGTCTTGTCATCTATTGTTTTGCATGTTTTGTATCCTGATAGTTCTTCTTGCTGTATAAAGTAATGGATGAAGATCTTTTTCTTGTTCATTCTTCCTCTTCAGGACGCCAATTGAAAAACAGAACGGGTGGTCAAATCATTTTATAGATGTGAAAATTGTTTGTCAATGAATTATTTCCTGCGTTTGTGAAGAAGTATTTAAAGATTTAGCAGTTTGTGAAGAAGTATTTAAAGATTTAACATTTATTTTGCAATGTAATATTTGAACAATGTCCGTACTAGAATGGCTTTGGCAGTGTAATAAATTATGGGAAATCATTAACACTGCTAGTCAAAAAGTGATCCAAAGAGTAAGCCCTGACCAGAACTATTGGTTTCAGGTGATATGACGGGAAACATACCTGAGATCCAAAGTAGATGTGTAGAGAATGATACTTGTCTTGCTGACAATGCAAATGCTTCTGCTGGTTCTCCTAAAACTTCTCCAGAAGTATTTCCATCTGCTATTGAATTCTATGTCTGGTCTGATGAGGGGATTAATCTGTTCGTGGATTTAGATTCTAGCCCTTTGGACTGGACCGAAAGATTAAAAAATGAGGTTTACATCTGTGAGAGCATCTACAGAGACAAATGTCTGCAACAGAATCTCTGTTGGTTTAAAGGTCATAAAGAATTTGCCGAGTGTTTTCAGTGGAACAATCATCCTGGCCTATTGAAGGATGACTATTTACAGAAAGAGGCTCCATCCAGTTCGAACCTGATGACAGATAACTGCATGGTGATTGACCAACTAGATGAAGCTAATGGATCTGTAATCTTCTCTGCAATTACGTCTCGTGCCATTAATGCAGATGCATCTGAGCGTATAGATGAAGATCAGACAATCATTTCTTCTGAAACTGATTTTGATGTGCAGAACCAGAAACTTGCTGGGTCTGAAATTTGTACCGAAGAGGATAATCGTGAAATGAATCTTGATAATGATATGAACAATGCTTTACGAAAAACAGATATTTCTGATCCAGTTTCTGGTGGTCCATCTAGTCTTTCCACATCAGACCATCAAAATCTTATACTTGAAACTGATATTTGCGAAACTTCAACACTACAGAATAGCTGCCGTATTTTAAATCTCTCTGTGGATAACCCAGGAAGCTTAGCCGCTGGTCCTATGGACATGGAATCATCAGATATTGAACAATGCCCTACAGACGTTTCTGATTACAGCTTGCAAACAAGTGCAGAGAAGTTGGTAAGGTGTTGTTTCGTTGCCAAGTTGCTTGTGTTCTGCATCTAGGAGTACATCATGGTTGCTATATTTATAATTTTCAAAAATCTTCAATTTGCGTTCGATTGTCAGTCTGATGATCATCCCTCTAGGCTCTTATCCCCCGCCTTCTTCTTCTTCTTTTTTTTTTAGGGGGTTGTTGGGAGAGGAGTCCCACATCGGCTAATTAAGGGGTTGATCATGGGTTTATAAGTAAAGAATGCATCTCCATTGGTATGAGGCCTTTTGGGGAAACAAAAAGCAAACAAAAAGCCACGAGAGCTTATGCTCAAAGTGGACAATATCATACCATTGTGGAGATCCGTGATTCCTAACCGGGGTCTCTAATACACTGTTTTTAATTACAAAACAATAAAATTGTGTATGATTATAGATATGGATGAAGCATGGGAGTTGGTTTGCTTTTAGCTTCTAGATGGAGTTTTTGGTTACAATTCTTTTACTACTAATTCCTTGATAGCCAGTTGGATAGGCATTCTATGAACTCCTTTGACCTTTTTATTTGGGATGATTCTTATTACTTCCTATCTTCCTTTTTGTAAATTATTCTTGTTTGATGGATGTTTCACGTATATGGATAATGAGCATTTTTGCAATGAAAATCTTGATACCTATTTTTTTCCTACCATAAAAAAAACGAAGAAATTACAGTTGTTTTTCTCGCTTCAATCACTCTATGGATTGTGATATGATATCTTTGCTTGCAGGAGAGGAACAACTTAAGTGCTACAATGGAGATTTCAGAGTAAACATTTTTCTAATGCAAGGCCTTTTAACTATTTTAACTTGTGGTTTGATGTCATCATTCCATTTTTCTTTTTCAGACACTCTCAATTTCCTGAATCTTTGGAGAAGCCGTTGCCTGTATCTCATATTCTCGAGCCTAATGGAGCACATAAGAGGAAGAAACTCACTAAAAATGAAACAAGACGTTGTTATAGTGAACCAGATAGAAGAGTTTTAAGAAGTGTAACTAAAAAACGGGGGCTGCCTAGAAGATCCAGGCGGCTCATTTTAAAGGTCCAATACTCACTTCATTAAAACCTTTTACCCCTTTGTATGATTAAATTCTTATCATTTGATGAAAATACTTATGCGTATAGTTCTTTTTATTAGACTGTGAGTTCGTAAAGTGCATTGGGACATGATGGAACATGGAAGGATCGGTTTCTTCACATCTACAGTGGTCTAAGGAAGAATCACATTAATAGTACGTATGAATATCTTTATTATGTGTTTGCTCCTGGAAAGGCTGTTCATTTTGATAATTTTAAAATCGATCAGCTTATTTTAGAAATGTATTACTCCAACAATAATTTTTGGATCTTGAATTGGCTAAGTAATACATCATATCACATAGATGGTAATAGATGTAGGTGTCCAGATTCGAAATTCTTAGAATTGTGGATTGTCTTTGCTGTTGTCATGGGATTGTTTCCATCCGAAGAAAATGCTTTCAAGCGTCGATGATCGAAGATCGCACAGATTTCAAAGGTTAACTTTCGTGTTTATGCATTTTCAAAATCGAATCGGTCAATTTTAGGGCCTGTTTGGAATGCTTTTTCAAGTAGTTAAAAAATGATCTTTTCAAAATGAACATAGTACGATGGTAATTGACGTGTACTACTTCTCTTAACTTAAAGTCTCCGTACTCCACTTGTTATAAGTGTTTCACTATAAATAGATATGTGACTCTTGATAACATTCCGTGAGATATGGTTTTTCCCTCAGGAAACGTGTCTTGTTTTAACCTAAATAGATAGATCCCTATCGCCCCTTAGGAGACGTGTCTTGTTTTTCCCTCACCCCATTAAATACAAACCTAGGTTTGCGATCTTTGATGATACTTCCAACTGCCCCTAACAAGATTGACATTTTGTGTCCCTAAGATTGTAACTTGTTGCAGGTTGCGTTGAATCAAACATCTTTTCCCTGGGAAAGAACAAGCTTGTATGCAGGTTTCTTCTTTAGTTGGATGGCAAGAACTCTTTATCATGTTATGTAATTCTTTAGTGACACATTTCTGAGATCATTATATGATGATACTCACTTTAATAAAAATGAGTTTCAGAATGGTCTGGTTGAAATTGGTCCTAGAACATTCTCTCTACAAATCTCTCCCTTCCCATCTAACACACTCTACCTCGATCCTCGGACAACCATTTCCTCGATCATCGTGTAAATATATGAAGCATTTCGTAGGAATGGGCATTGACACAGTAGTGACGCCTTTCCCGTCCTTGCCTCGTGTACATCTCTAAATCTGCCACACCACTTTTTCTAATGAGTTTTATATTATCGCTTAGATTCATTAATGTAGTTTTGAATAAATGAAATTGAAGGAGTATTGAATCATAAGTTTCCTTGAGCTTTTAGGTTGTATGGGCTAGGCTAGATTTTAAATAGATTCTACCCGTGTTTCATAGGTTCTTATGTCACCACTTATTAAAATAATATAGTCGGTGTTACCTAAATATTAAACGGACCAAATAGATAAAAAAAATTAAAATATCAACCATCTATTAAATTTTTTAAATATAATACACCAACGAACCAAATAGATACAACTTCGAGCGGGTCTAAGAAATTGAATGTTTTTGACGTACCAACTCCTTTCCTAACTTACCAATATAATCCTAACATAAGCAACAACTGCAATTATATGTTTTTAGATAAAAATTACAATTATGATCCGTGTTATAATTTAATGTTTTTAATTTGGGAATATAATCTTTAAAATCTTCTATGATAGTTGGTTACAACAAAATATTCTCCGAGTTTAATCATTTATTTGACTAATGATATCAGAAATTAATACGAGATCCATTGCTAGTAGATATTGTTCTCTTTGGGTTTTCCCTTTCGGACTTTCACTTAAGGCTTCAAAACGCGTCTGCTAGGAGAAGATTTCCACACCCTTATAAATGGTGATTTGTTCTCCTCCCCAACAGGACATCACAGTATTTCTACGTTGCTAACTAAAAAAGTAATTAAAAAAGAAAAAATATATTTAATAATGGATTTTTGTTTAATGAATTTACTACTTTTTATAGCAAAATTATATGTTATTTAATATTTGAAAACGTTATTTTAAAGGTGAAATAAAATACGTTTTAAATACCTAAAAAATTGAATTTGAATATATAATAAATCAAAATTCACAATGTGGTTGAATTATGAATGGACAGCTCGGATTTTTGGTTTCATTAAATTAGAATAATAATAAATAAATAAATAAATAAATAAATAAATAAATAAATAAATAAAGTTTGAGGTAAAGATAAGGCCAACCAAAGCCCTATCCTCAATAATACAAACACAAGTCTTAAAAAGGGCATCACTGCTTCTCCTTCAATGCTCTTAAATCCTTTCATATTATTATATTCATACTTCTTTTTATCATATGCTCGCGTTTACGACATTTTTGTCACCAACCGACAGTAATAAAATGTGAACGTAAAAAATTTAAGAGCGTTAAAAAAATTCAATGACGTAAAAACTCAATCGACTCAACCTAATCAATACTGTTTAGGTCAGGTTACGAACTTATTTGAGTTGAATTAAGTATATATATATATATATATATATATATATATATATATATATATATATATATATATATGTTTTATCTAATTTTAAATTAAAAATAAAGTTGGATTTAAAAAATGTTAAATTTACGACTCGAACAATTAGATTGAGTCTAAAAAAATGTTCAAATCCAACTCAATCCAACCCATAAACACCCGCGAATAAATTGCTGACGTAATCGTTGGACTCGAGGAAAAAAAAAATTGCATAAAAATATTATAAAATTGAATTGAATATAAAAATATATATATTATTAAATCAAGTAGAGTTTACAAAATAGAGTTAATATAAAAATATATATATATATCATAAATGTGTTACCAAAAGTCAATGTTGAAATAAATAATTAAAAAATAGGCACACCCCATCACACAAATATATCAAGTCTGACTCGTTTGAATCAATTTTGTTTTAGTGTAACGAGTAGATTATAAGAATTTGAACCTTTGACTTTAAGATAAGAAGTACGAGTTAATTACTGTTGAGCTATGCTTAGAAGGTGTTCAAACGACCGCATAACGTGAATTTTAGACATGATGCGTTACAGTTAACATTTCATAAAATATTTTTAAATGTAATGCACAAAACGATAATAATTTTATGAAATGATTTTAAATGGAACGAAACGAGATCCTAAGAAGATGATGAATAAAAAATATTTAAAAAAAATTGAAGGTTAGGATCTATACATGTTAAAAGAACCTGTGTATATAATTATCATATAATAATTTTTTTTTTTATAGTATCATATGAGAAATTAAAATTTTAATTTTAGTTTGAATAAATTTACGAGATCAACACCGTTGTTTAAACGTTTATAGCTACATTAGTTATACTCGTAATTAATGATCATGATTTCGACACAATATGGCATAAGAAAATAGGGTCTACTAAATAAATCGAGCCAAATTTGACGATAAAATTATTGCTCATTAGTCTAAGTAAATAAATATTCACGTTATAATGTTATGATCAGGGTATTAAATTTCCGTCGACATGTTGACATTCGTCTCGATATTTCATAAGAGGTGAATCGACATTTTTCATTATACCGTAAAAATGTTGAAGTATTTTAACTCATTAACAAAGAGTAAAATGTTTATTTATTAATAAAACCCTAAACCCTAAACCCTAAACCCTAAAATTTTCTGACCTCGACATTATCATTGACATCGAGAAAGTAAGTAGAAATTTACTTCAAATTTGGAACGGTATAAAAACGACTATTTATTTCAATTTAAAATTATATTAGAAGTTTATTCAATTTCTTTCTTTAAAATTCAATTTTTTTTAAATTTTTTTTTATAAAAAGAGTACCATAAAAAGAAGATTAAAAAAAAAAGAAAAAGATTATTGTGAATAAAAAATAAATTTAATTATTTATGGTAAAAGTTAATCTTTATACAAAATAACACTAAAAAAACCAGTTCTATATCACGGGTTTTGCTTTAAAATTAAGTAATCAGATTAAATGGAGTTACGAGCATCTAACAGATGCTTCATAGATGAAAACGTAGATTATGCAGTAATGTCTGAGAATCAGAACCAAAGTAAAAATACAGTCTTGTTATAACGGATTTTACTTTAAGAGTGAATATCATATACAAATGTAATTACGAACACCTCACCGATGCTTCATAGATCAAAATATGGATCAGAGGTGACAATTTATCGAAAAATTATACAACAAAATTAAAAATAGAAATAAATTAGGTTAAAAGATTTCAAAGATAAATGAAATTTTGCACCCGAACTTTTTGACTTATAAGGAACCTTACTTTTTGACCAACGTTCAATTATGTTACTTCTTGGTTCAAATCATAATGCATTTAGAATTAAATGGTCTTGAAAAAATAAAATAAAATAAAAAATAAAAATAAAGTAAGAAACTTTTTCTTTTTTAAATAATGGAATTAATATAATTATTTTTAATATACCATTTAAATGTTTTAAATTTAAAAGAAGAAAAAAAAATAATTTTAAATGTACTCATAAAAAAAAAATTAAAATCTTAATTTAATCTCAAGTTTTTATTTTATTTTTTAAACATGAGAGATAAATCATTTTTAATGACTTTTAAAATAATTCCATTAAGATTCTTTTACTTTTTCATTTAGTTTAGATACTCATTTCGATTCATGTATTCTTAAAGGGGAACATTTTAGTTTTTAATTTTTTTTTTTTTCAGTTTGAAACGTTTATAGAACGTGTCAGAATTTTCCAAACAATTATCAAAATTTACGTTTGCTGGAATTACAGGAACCAAAACGCACGTTTTTAAAATATATAAATGTCAACAGAAACATAGTTCAACGGTAAAACTACTCATTCGTTTGAGGTCGGAGGGTCAAATTCACGCATTTTTTGTACTAAAAAAATGTGAGCGCGTAAATTATAACCCTCTTTTTTTTTTTTTTTTTTTTTTTTTTTTTTTTTTTTTTTTTTTTTTTTTTTTTTTT